TTTCTTTCTTTCTTTCTTTCTTTCTTTCTTTCTTTCTTTCTTTCTTTCTTTCTTTCTTTCTTTCTTTCTTTCTTTCTTTCTTTCTTTCTTTGAAAACCAGAATGTCAGACGTCTTCCTCTGGTTCTTACCTTTAGCATGACAACTTACATAAAATAAAAATGTCAAAAGACTTAAGGAATTTCAATCCAATCAATCAATCAATCAATCAATCAATCAATCAATCAATCAATCAATCAATCAATCAGTCAACCATCTGCGTCTACTCAACTGAATTGAGTAAATCTAAGAGAATTACTTCACATTGACTCATAAAGTAAGTGAAAAAATTGCTGAGTTCAGTTGAGTAGAACCTAATAATTTAAGTAAATCCAACACAAATGTTTTGAAATTTTTTAGTGATTTTTAGTGTTTAGTTTAACTTGTCGGACAGATACTGATATTCTAAAAAATGAACAATATCAGCTGATACCAATGTTAATGCCAATATACCACGTATCCCTAGATTTTAGTTTAAAACTCTGGAAGAAAGGAGGCAAGGAACGTTCAGTTTTTAATTTGATTGAATACTTTCATGATTCAGAAATGTACCCACTGGCCTGACTTAGACACTTTAAAAGTTTTATTCTTTTTGTTCTCAGCTAAAGAAGATTGTTTCTTTAATCTTGCTGGTCATTCATAGATGAAGTATAACGCTGCATCTCTACAGACCCTGCCAGGGAAAAGTGGATGAACAGTTGTACGCTCACATCTCCTGTGGGAGGATGTTTCTCCCACAGAAGACACGCAGCACTGACAAGTGTGTTCCTGGATTCATGCTATGTAAATAAGGGTCTTTCTACAGCAACATCCTGCCAAAACACTGTTCTGAGTTTCAGCGGCTCACAGGCAGATACTGTGAGTCTGGTTTGTCACGTCACCCTGAATCAGAGCAGTGCTAGGACGTCTAACTCCTCTTGCCAACATTAACGTGGTTAAATTGATCGATTTCACTCGTCTGCGAGGAAACCTCTGTTTTTCCGTGTCACACGTTGTGTGTGTGTGTGTGTGTGTGTGTGTGTGTGTGTGTGTGTGCATCTGTTTTGGATGTGGCTGCTCACCCTGCACTGACTTCAGGCCCTCTGTGCTGCGTGGCTATGTGCAGCGCAGCGCCTCACACTGTCTGCGCTGTGTTCCAGGCTGGCTGGAAGGAGAACCACGCCACCTTCATGTGCGAGCTGAAGAACCTGCAGGCGTCTGGCCTCACAACGTTAGGGCACGCTCTGCGCACGGCCTTCGACCTGCTCAACCTCAACCGCCTGGTGTCAGGAATCGACAACTATGGACAGGTAATCACTGTAGGAGCAGTCCTTTTGTTTGCCAGAGAAAAGCTGAAGTATATGAGGGATTCTGGAAGACTGAAGTCCTTATTATAGATATTATTTATATAAAATATAGTCTGTCATCTATCAGTATCTTTGTTTTGGAGTTTCTGATTGAGAATTTAGATTACACACAAGAAATGTGGATTATCTTAAAAAAAGATTAAATAGAAGCATCTTAATGGTGAATTTCTTAGGTGACTGAAAGTTAAAACTAAACATTTTGGTCATGCACGTAGAAATAAGTTGGACTAAAACAGGCTGAACTATTTTTATGTCTGATTGTTTGTAGTTCCAGAATTAAACCGAACACTACGGAGCCCGCGAAGGAACATGGGGGGATTTTTTTCTTTTGCGTTCCCTCGCAATACTTTTGCGTTCCCTTGCAATACTTTTGCGTTCCCTCGCAATACTTTTGCATTTCCTCGCAAAACTTTTGCGTTTCCTCGCAATACTTTTGCGTTCCCTTGCAATACTTTTGCGTTCCCTTGCAATACTTTTGCGTTACTTCGCAATACCTTTGCGTTCCCTCACAATACTTTTGCGTTACCTCGCAATACCTTTGCGTTCCCTCACAATACTTTTGCGTTACCTCACAATACCTTTGCGTTCCCTCACAATACTTTTGCGTTCCCTCGCAATACCTTTGCATTACCTCACAATACCTTTGCATTACCTCACAATATTGTTTTGCGTTCCCATGCAAAAGTTTGACTTGTAGATGAATTGAATTAAATCAGACTTTTATTTTGAAATATCCGGTTACCAAAGCAGGATGTGTTCGTGAAATTGACATTGATGTTGCATGGCTGCACTGTGTTAAAATATCGGCCTATGACATACTTCCATGCGTGGCTGTGTGATATATTCATTCTGAAGCTGAATTAAAGTAGTAGGCTAACTCTCTAATGGTAAACATGTGAGTTTGTTAATAAACCGGCAGGCACAACAGTGAAAAACGACTTTTGCGAGGGAACACAAAAGGTATTGTGAGGTAACGCAATACTTTTGCGTGGGAACGCAAAAAAAAGCCCCCATGTCCCCTCGCGGGCTCAGTAGAACACAAAAAAGGCCAAAAAAAAGTCTAATTTAGCTTTTTAAGCTAATAAATATCTGAGCACAAGTGCCACTTTACATAAAGTTACTGATGTTCCAGCAGAGTATGGAGAAGACATATTTTTGACAGGTCATGCTAATTACACTACAATTTGTTGAAATAGAAAATAGAACAAAGTCAAAGGAAAGTCTTTTCCTGTCCAATTTGCAAACCTTTGATTATTTTATATGTCCTTCTGTAAATGAAAGTTATACACAGACGAAGCTATGAACCGGGTTACTTTCAATAGCAGCATCTTGCTTGGCTGTGTACCAACATGTCAAATATTATAAATGCAGGAAAAACTTTTCTGTCACAAGGTCACAGCCCTAAAGCCTGTGAAGGGTTTTCTTTTCTTTTATATTTTTATGATAGATTCACCACAATAAAAGCTTATTTGTATGAAATTCAAAAGACATTTGCAACTGTGTTAAACATCAGAAAAGCCTCAAAAAACAGAAAGCTTTAAACATTTGAATGTGAAAATGGATGTAATGTTATAAAGTGTGTGGGAAACATGCAGATTTAAAGTAATCTGAATAAAATACAGCTGATGACAGAGGACAAGAAAATTACAGATTAAACTAGTAGTAATATAAGAATCCGTGTATGGTTCGTTCTTTGGATTTTTCGTTTCAAAATAAAATTTCAAAAACAAAACAAGCAGTGATTTTTGTTTTTTCCATTTCAAAATAAAATTGCAAAGACAAAACAAGCACGTGATTTTTTTGTTTTTATGTTTTTAAAACAAAATTAGAAAAACAGCAATTGCAAAAATAAAAAAGGGGTATGTTTTTTATTTACTGCAATGGTTAAACCAAAGACAAGCTTTTACATTGAATTGCTGTTTATCCCAAAATCTACAATTAAACTATGACTTTATTCTGTATGTATTGTAGGTACGTGAAGGTAATAGGTATGACACAAATGTACATTGTTTATAATTATGTCTCCCATTTTCTCCATTTGTTATGGCCTGCAAGAGGACACCTGCTGGTCCATTACTGTAATACACCATGTATACACAATGCCTACAGAAAGTTAACGTCAGCTAGCTAGTATTTACAAGTGTTTCTCATTTTTCACAGTATAATGTCCATAAAACTCTTATACTTAAGTTCGATAATAAATGCAGAAAATGGTTCAAATGCAGCCATTGCCTATTATTTAAGATTGGTTTGTTTTTATGCAATCTTTTATCCACTGTAAACTATCCTTCTTTGGCGACTTACTTCATTTCCGGTATTGCTACATATTAAAAGAACCGTATTTTATTTTTATTTAGATGGCTAAAGCAAAAATCAAACACTGTTGATTTTCTATTAAATCGATTTTGCATTTTTACATTTAGGTTTTAAAAACAGAAAAACAAAAAAATAACATGCTTGTTTTGTTTTTGCAATTTTATTTTGAAACAAAAAAAAACAAAGAACGAACCATACACGGATTTATAAGGTTCAAGTAAATGTGAGGAACATTGTAATCCTTGTAATACTTAATATTTAAAACAGTTTTATTGTAAAAAAAAAAAAAAAGAAGAAGAAAAAGAAAGACTTGGATTAGCATTTTTTTCACTCTTTTTACGCCCCTACCTGAAGATAACACTGAGAAAATTGACTTCTGACTGTAGCTTAATCCTCTCAACCTTGTCTCAGACACCAAAGTCATTTTCTTCTGGCTGCCTGAGGGCAGAACTGGATTACTACAAAGAGACAAGTTCTGAGCATCAGGGGTGTGTAAATGTACTCAGGCATTCCCCGTGTGTCTGAATTAGACCAAGTTTGGCCTCTGCAGCACAGACAGTAATACAAGGACACTGTGTGGCTCACACACACCTCCTGACACAAAGCAAAGATCATCAGCCGCTGTGCAACACTGGCTTCAGCTAGTGGGTGAGCAGAGGTGCAATGTAACTACATGCTAACTACATGTTTTATAATTAAACACTGTGAGGGTGAAACACATTTCAAGTGTTATTTGATCCATTTTGAAGTGTTCTGTATGAAAGTTTTGATGTTACCTGTTGTAGCTCTTCGAACAACCTCGGTTTGGAGAAATAAAGTTAAGATTTTACCTGAGACCAAAGGGGACCAAGTAGGGGTCTCTGCGGTACATATTATTCAGTGGGTGGAGTTTGCCCTAACTGTGATTGGTCAGACTGGGGCAACTTAAAAGAGGAAGTAATGGTAATAGTAAAAATAATGATTTATTGACTGTCAATGTATTTTAAAACAGAACAATAACTTAGTGACGTGGAAACATAACTTACTGACTTTAAATTTTGTGCAGCTAGCACCTTCCTGTCTCAAGTAAAAACTAAAATTAATTTCTATATTTAAAAAAAATAGGCGCTTCCTGGACGTTTCGACCAAGCTACTCCCTGCTGCCCCCCAGCTTCTTCAAACCCCACAGTCAAACAGACCAATCACGTCTTGGGCCAACTCCTCCTACAAAATAAGAAACTCCTACTTAGTGACTGCAGAGACCCCCTTCTCGAGGAGATGGCTTTAGTCTTTCAACAATTTCAGTCTTCAAAATTTCATAACGGTGCTATAAACCGCTGTTTGATAAAACTTTACACTGCCATTAGTTTTGTATTACATTCTAGTGCTATAGCTTGCTGCTTATTACACTTTCAAATAACCCCATACTTCTATGTAAATAGCTGTTAAACACAAATTGTCAGCAGTGTAAATGAGTGTAAAGGGCATTTGCACAAATCAATAAAACACTGTTTGGTCTTGGCTGTTTGTCAGTTTTATCAGATGTAAACGTAATTTCTGCAAACTGAAGTCACTCGGAGTGCTATTTACAACAAGGAACATTAATACTTCAGAACGCCTCTTCATGTAGCTGAAATACTCCTATAAACTAGTGTTGTAGTCAAGACCACCTAATCAGAGACCAAGTCAAGACTTTTAAGGCCTTGACCAAGTCGAGACCAAGACCAAGGAAGGGTAAGACCGAGTTAAGACCAAGACCAGAAAAGGAAAAAAAATATATAATCTAGTGCCCTAATGGAGTATTCTGTACACATGTAACTAACTTAATATATAGAGCTAATATTGACAAAATCTTTGTGTGAGGGCAGAGGAAAGCATTTTGCTACAGAGGCAGATTGTTAAAGTTAGTGATGATAAAATTAACAATGTTCCCACCGTCTCTGAAAGTGAAGCACTGCAGAATTTACAAGTTGCTCTACGCTTTCTCCTGGTTGTTGTTGTTTTACAATGATATTATAATTTATGTAACCAAATTGTTTTACTGAAAATTTTGAAGAGCTCTTGTACTGCTCCCAGAGAACCACTGCTCACTTTCCTGGAGTGTTGCCTGCAAGTGACAGCCGGTAACAAAAATACCTAAATAGCAAAGAGTCAGGTTTGGATTTGAATCAACATTTTAAATACAATGAAAGCAAAGATTTTAACAAATAAATTGAACAATAATCTGGCTATTTAGGGATATTTCCACAGTTGTAGTCTTGACTGGTCTTGACATAAAATTCAGAGTCCTCAATGTCCGAGACCGAGACAAGACCGAGTACAAATGTGGTAGCGTCCGAGACAAGACCAAGACCATCAAAAAGTGGTCTTAAGACCGGTCTCAAGTACTACAACACTACATGAGACATTAGTAAAATTATGTTGTTTATTTTAGATTTGAATTCTGATCACAGAGTCTCTGACTGTAAAACAAGAAACCTGATGAAAGAATATAAACGGTCTCTCACTGTTTTTCTGATCTCACATTTAACTGCTAATTGTGATCGTTCCCTTCAGGGCCGCAACCCATTCTTCCTTGAACCATCTGTGATCATTACAATCACTGATGGGAATAGGCTCACAAACAGCTCGGGGGTGCCAGATGAGGTGAGCTCTACTAATATCTACTGCCTGCAATAACACTACCTGTACCTGTGATTGTACATTTATTACCCATGTGTGCTTGAATCAAGTCAGCGTCACATGTTGTCCTCTCTCTGCGTAGCTGCACCTGCCTCTGAACTCTCCTCTGGCGGGCAGCGAGCTCACCAAAGAGCCTTTTCGTTGGGACCAGAGGCTGTTTGCTCTGGTGCTGAGGCTGCCAGGAGCCTCTGCACCAGACACCGAGCAACTCGGCAGCGTCCCCACAGATGACTCGGCAATCACCCAGATGTGTGAGGTCACAGGAGGTTTGGTATTTTCCTCTCTGCTTCATTCATCCCGTGTCTCCTGGACGAGAACTCATTCTGAAGTTTGGTCCTGTCAGGTCGATCGTACTGTGTGCGAACACAAAGGATGTTAAATCAGTGCCTGGAGTCACTAGTCCAAAAGGTTCAGAGTGGCGTCGTCATCAACTTTGAGAAGACGGGGCCAGATCCACCTCTGGTAGGAGAAGGTGGGTTGTAAGAGATGCTCAGAAACACGCTGCATTTATAGGAAAATATTTTGTTTCATTTTGGACTTATTACATCATCACATGTCCAACAGTTAGCTGGAGCATAAAATGTGAGATAGTTTAAAGGGATCCACGATTAGTTGTAACATTAGATTTTATTTGATAAAGATATATTTTAACTGTAAAATAAAGACTGTAAAAATACTGTAGGCTGTTTAGTTTTGTAAATTTTTGTAAAATATATTTTAACACAGACGGAGCCATTTTATTTACACACAAAGTATTCTGGGTAAATGTTGACGTGGATAGGTTCTCGGTGTGAGGCTGCTAGCGAGCTATATCCACCCTGAAGGTTAATCTTGGACAATATCTGATGAGATCAACTCTTTTAAATGAAACCAGAGAGCGTTGACAGAGAGGAGAAGGTAGAAATGACTCAGCCTGGAACTGAAAATATAGATGGAGGACAACAGAGCTGCTTCATGGAAGAAGAACCTCAGTTAGTTTGTTAGCTTTAGCTTTAGAGCCAAAGCTATATTGCCTTACATGTATTAGGTTGGCGCTAGCTCGACAAACTAACAAGCTAAACTGAGGTCCTCCATCCATATTTTCAGTTGCAGGCTGAATCAATTTTGCGTTCCCCTCTGTCATGTGGATGGATGACCTCAGTGACGAGAGGAGAATGTGTAGCGCTGAGCTAATACATGTATATGCTGATAGCGTCCTGGCTAATCCTAAAGCTAACAGGCTAAGCTGAGGTTCTTCTTCCATGAAGCAGCTCTGTTGTCCTCCATCCATATTTTCAGTTACAGGCTGAGTCATTTCTACCTNTCAGATATTGTCCAAGATTAACCTTCAGGGTGGATATAGCTCGCTAGCAGCCTCGCACCGATGACCTATCCACATCATCATTTACCAAGAATGCTTTGCATGTAAATAAAATGGCCCTGTCCATGTAATATATTTTTAAAAGTTTAGTTTAAACATTTACAAAACTAAACAGCCTACAGTAATTTTAAAGTTTTTATTTTACAGTTAAAATATACGTTTATCAAATAAAGTCAGATGTTAATCTTGGATCCCTTTAAAAGTTTAATAGTATTCTGTAAAGAAAAGCCTCTATCTCGGTCTGTTTATTATTTTTACTGTTGGTATATGATCTGTGTTGTATTTTGTAGAAAACTTGGTGGAATCCAGTCGCCCTGTGTCGTCGTTCAGCCCTCAGCCCTGGCATAGCTGCCACAAACTCATCTATGTGCGACCGAACCCAAAGACGGGGGTTCCAGTGGGCCACTGGCCCATCCCAGAGTCCTTCTGGCCGGACCAGAATTCTCCAACCCTGGTGAGAAGAAGAACTCACGTTGCTGTTTCTTCCTCTTCTTTTTGTAGCTGTCCTCCCAGCCTGAGAGTAATCAGGAGTCCAACACTATGAACATCAGTTTGATGATCCGGTTTTCTTTAAATCTTCTTTGGTTTTGTAATACAGAAGGATCTGATGAGTTTTTCCTGTTTTCCTCTCAGCCGCCGCGCTCTGCTCATCCTGTGGTACGTTTCTCCTGTGTGGACTGTGAACCCATGGTGATTGACAAACTTCCCTTTGACAAGTATGAACTGGAGCCCTCTCCACTCACCCAGTACATTCTGGAGAGAAAGTCTCCACACATGTGCTGGCAGGTAAATGTCTCTTCACTCACTGCTGGTTACAGATGTTTTTATATACTGTTTACTGAATACTTACCTTTGTTGAATCAAAAGCTTTGCACAAAAGCTGCTGATTATTTTGATGCTACATTTACACCAAACACATTTTGAGCATCAGGAGCATCTGGTTTTAGCCTGGCCCATGCCTTCCTACGCACTTCTGCTCATTTCTAGTTTCCCTTCACTACTCCGTCTGGCGTTTCTCCCATAGACAACGACTACGCTGGCAGATTTTTAGCTGAACCAATCAGAGAACAGAATGTCGATGCAGTGTCTGCTAGTTATTTTAGCATACAACAGTGGAGGAAGTGAATGAAGTCAGTCTGTGTTGATAAGGCTTCCAAATTAAATTAAATTTGTCTGACAAAGCAGCAGCTCTCATTTACAGTCGTCTCGTTCGGCTCGGTATATTTCTCCTCTCAGTAGGGTTGTTTACAGTGCATGTGATTTCCGGTTAGCTTATTAGCTTAGCCTCCTTCACAGCGACATATACACATACGCTTCAGAGAGGCCACGCCTCCAGCAAGAATCACTTCTTTATGCAGCGAGTCCAGACCCTAGTAGACAAGGGTCTGGTTTTTACCAGGCTAATCTGGTTTACATGCAAAATCAATGGTGGACGTGCAGCTATGGGCCTCTAGAAACCGAGCAGCGTGTCTGGCGCATTTCGAGCAGCGCGGTTCGAAGCGGTGCACACGTCATAAGCATTTTCCGTCGGTGCGGCACATCCCAAGTGTCCGACGCATGAGTTGGAAAATCTGAACTTTTGCTGCTTGACGCGTCGCATCAACCAGTCAGAGATTCTGCTCAGTCACGTACTGGTGACGAGCCGGAAATACCGGAAGCCCGGGAAATCGGATCACACAAACAACGGAGGAAAAACTGAAAGTCCGATCATGTATGATCATCAGCTTCCATTATCTTGATAGAAATAAAAAGAACTTTGCCTGGAGGACGATTCGTGAGAAAGTCAGCACGTTTGGTAAGTTATCGAAACTACGGTTAAAAAGGCTCCTCCCCTCCAGCGTCTAAAGAAGTGCGTCTACGTTCACATCAAATGCGTCTGTCCTCACTGGACACCAGCATCGAGATGCGTGCGTTTTGAGATTTTTGGAGACGGACAACGCGTTTGGTGTAAATGTAGCATTAGACTGTGAATAAAAGCTCTTGGTTTTAATCCTTCTCTTTCATGTTTTCAGGTGTTTGTCAGCAGCAGCGTGAAGCAGAATGACCTTGGGAAGCCATTTGGCTACCTTAAAGCCAGCACCACTCTGACCTGTGTTAATCTGTTTGTCATGCCTTACAACTACCCAGTTCTCCTCCCGCTGCTTGGTAAGACTCAGTGGTAAATTTGTCTTTAGCACAGCTACAGGACTTCTGGGCCATAGATCCGAACTGATACTAAATTCAAAAGTCTCCTTATCTGGGTCGCCTCTTTGTCTGCAGTAGCTTGCCCCCAGTAATATTTAGCTGTTATTATCATGGATATGAAGTTTACAGCTAAACAAATATACAACACAAACTTTCTCTAATCAGAAACCTAGCATGTCTTGAAGGAATATCGCCCGCTGTCGTTCTTGCTACATCTATGGACTAAGTTTATCTTTTATTGAGACGTGACAAAGTTAGAGCCACTTTGGTAATGTAATGCTCAGAGTATGAATAACTCTCAGCTACTGCCACACCAATTTTATTAGCTCGATATTTATAACATCAACCAAGCTTTTTGTGTTTTCTAATGTTTATTAGCTGTGATGGTAATCTTGACCTTGGTTGACTTCAAAAAGTAATCAATAATACTTATTGGGGACATTTATACACATATTGTCTATTAAATCAACTAAAAGGCCTTTAAGGAGCTAATTTTAAAATCATTTAATTTAATATTTTTATTACAGGCTGAGATAGCTCTAAAATATTGACTAGTTTATTGTGAATAAACTGTATTGTTAAAATGATCATTTTTAAGGAGGTATGTATGTAAGGTTTTAGATTTTTCTCCAGATGGTCACTTATTGTCATGAAGTTCAATGACCCCCTGAAAGTTAATGTTAAAAAGTTTAATTAAAATCTGTTGTGGTTCATGAAATATTTTGCTGACTTAAACAGTTAATGGCAATATTTCAGACTAATGTCTCACACAGCGAGTATTACTCTCAGTTTCTACCAAACCAAATGTTAGCTAAATATCTACATAAACAACAGAGTTTTAAGCATCTTTGGCTGTGTCCAAATTCAAGTGCTGGGTCCTTTGAAGGACCTGGTATTGGTAGACCGTGAAGACAGGGAAAAAGTGGCTGTGAATTTGGATAGTCTAGTCTTCTGGTTTATTCCCGCCCTTACCCCGGCGAATGTCCTGTCACCACTGTGACGACCATCAGTTGACTGTGGCGGCAGTCTTGAATTGGGTTGGCTTCAAACCTTAATCAGTTCAGATGTACATCCAATGATTACTTTCTGAGAATTTTCTTAAAATCTGTCCAGTACAAAGCATTTTGCTATCAGGCAAAAGCATCATCGCCTGTCTGTCAGCTGTAAGTGGTGATGAAGTGAATTTAGACATGAGAAGGTCAGTGTAAGCATAGAGGATATTCCAGGTGTGTAATCTGACTGAACGTTCAGGTTGGCAGCAGCTGCAGCAGAGCATCATCTAGATCAGGGGTCTGCAACCTTTATAATCAAAAGAAACATTTCTGCTCCTTGTCTCACTAATAAAATGTGTCCAGAGCCACAAAACAAGCTACAACTGGGATTATCAACTGGTGGTCTGTGGGCCTTTTCAAGGCCTTTTCAGGAACCTTTACAGTCATAGGAGGTGGCGTTATATAAAAAATATATATAATATAGGGATGCACCGATACCAGATTTTTGAAAACCGAGTACGAGTACAAGTACTTACATTAAAGTACTTGCCGATACCAAATACCGATACAAGTACTAATTAATATCCTTAAAAATCCTTATAATTAACTTAAACTGTTTATTTTCATTAGGCACTTCAAACATAAATAAACAAAGT